CTCCCTCTGTTCAGGCCCGGCCTGGGCCGGGACATGGCGGCTGGAGAGGGGACCCGGCTTGCTGAACCTATGGGAGTGGGGCCAGGGGAGGAGCCAGCGCTCCGCGAGCCCTGCCCGGGTGTGGGTTCTACACCCACATGAGAGCCCGCCCAGCCACGGCCCCAAGGCTGAGCCCAGGCCACAGGGCCAGCTGCATGGCCCTTCCTGCGCTGTGGCCTGTTTTTCATGGGTCCCGTCCGGCATCATTCCCCGCACTGGGTGTGGGTGCAGGAGGCCCCACCCAAAGGCAGGGACGCCAGCAAGCTGTGAGTCTGTCTGTTCACATTCCTGGGCTTGCCCAAGGGGTGCCTCAGCTTGGTCAGAGCACAGCAGCCCCTGCCAGCTCCCCAGCACGCCCTGATCCCAGACCTCAGCCCCTCCAGCCCCAGTTTGGCGCCCGTCCCGGTCTGACTCCATTCTGACAGTCAAGCCCCTGTTTATAGAGGATTCTCTGTGTGCCTGGGTCAGCTGTTGGTGGGCACTCACCCTCCCTGTCTTCAGCAGACAGACATGGAGCTCCCAGCACACTCCAGGCCCGTCCTAGGCCCTGCCCCAGCAACGGGCCGCATTCTCTTATCGTTCTCACCCCATGACCGAGCCAGGTGATAAGACAAAGAAGTAAAAGACAGAGTAAGCCAGCCGTGGCCAGCGCTGAGGAGAAACGTACAGGAGGACCAATGGGCGGGGGTCAGTGAGGCTAGAATGTTGGAAGGGCACCCGGACAGGGGCTCACAGAGAAGGGGGTCTGAGCCAGGCTCTGGATGGGGTGAGAAGGGGCTGGGCTGAGTGGTCCGAGCTGAGGGGTCCAGGCAGAGGGGGCAGCAAGGCCAAGGTCCTGAGACGGGCACGTGCCTGATGTGAGGGGAGAGGACCCCTTGGCCATTGTCAGGACCTTGGCCTCCGCTGAGAGGGAGATTGGGGGCGTGTGGCAGTGTGCTGGTGGCTTGAAATGGACTGTGACGGGAGTACTTACACCAGGGAAATTGGCAAATACTACAAATCAGCCCCTCTCTTTCTTGGTAGAACCAAGTTTTAAAATGTTAGTAGCGAACCCTGAGGTGTGGGAGGGATTCGAGCATCGTCTCACCTGGACACCTGAAAACCCTTCTGACCAACAAGTCTTGGGAGGTTGAATAACCAAAATAAGGGAACAGGGTTAGGAAATAGCGAAGCTAAGGGATGTATCTGCGTTGAATTGAAACCTCGATGACTCCAAGACTAGAGCACAGAGTTCTGTGACCAGCATGGAGGCTGTGTGTGTGTGTGTGTGTGTGTGTGTGTGTGTGTTCTGCGTTGTTTGCATGTGAAGAGGCTGTGAGTGTGGACAGGGTTCTGTACACACGTGTGATGCTGCGTGCGCCTTCTTAACCTGTGTATTGTGAGACTGGGAGCCAGGGCTGCTGGCCGCTGGTCAGGCCCCCTCGCCTGAGCTCTGCCCCCACCCCAGAGCATCCCGAGCCTGGAGAGCCAGCAAGAAAACCTGGAGCAGCCTTTCCTGAGTGTGTTCAAGGCAGGGCAGCGGAGGGCGCCCGTGAGGAGCCTGGGCACGGTTGTGCACTACACCAAGGTCCAGCTGCGTTTCCAGCACAGCCAGGTGGGGGCCGGGCCGGGAGGGGCACGCTTGAGGGCCGCCCCGGGGCCTGCCCCCAGCCCTCAGACCCTGGCCCCACTCGCCCCCAGGACATCAGCGACTGCTACCTGGAGCTCTTCCCCTCCCACCTCTACTTCCAGGCCCATGGTTCCGAAGGACTCACTTTCCAGGTGAGGGGACATGGGCGGCGGAGGAGCGGGGGGAGAGGGAGAGAGCAGCCCCTTGCGGGGCACGCGGCCCAGTCCTGCTGGGCCCAGTCCCCCAGCCCTTCCCTCCCGCTGTGCTCTGGCAGGGCCTGTTACCACTGATGGAGCTGAGTGTCTGCCCGCTCGAGGGATCCAGAGAGCACGCCTTCCAGATCACAGGTGCGCAGGGGCACGGGGGTGCTGCCTGTGCTGACCTGGCCCCCAGGAGGGTGAGAGCGCTAAGGCTGCTCAGTGAACCTGGCCGTCGACCGGCCCCAGGACCCGGGCGGGGCTCGGAGCATGTTGAGGGGCCCTGGCCTTTCCTCCAATGGGCACGCGTGCGTCTGCCGGGCTGGGGCGGAGGGCAGTGGGTCGGGGGCCTCCAGAGCTGTGCGTGTGGTCATCAGTGGCTCCCCCCAACCCTTGAGGAGCCTTGCTTGTGGCCGCTGGCCTAGCCTACTCTGCCCCTCCCCCGCAGGCCCGCTGCCCGCCCCGCTTCTCGTGCTCTGCCCCAGCCAGGCTGAGCTGGACCGCTGGCTCTACCACCTGGAGAAGCAGATAGCCCTCGTGGGAGGGGTGCCGCGCCGCCACCCAGCACCACCGCAGGTCAGTGCTGGGAACCCCACGCCCCTCTCCATCCCCACTCTCCCCCTGCCTTTGACCCCCCCCTACCAGGGCCCCCCTGAGAACGAGCTCCCCTGGACTCTGCAGCGCAGGCTGACCCCGCTGCGGACAGCATCAGGGCTCCAGGTAGTGGGCACCGCCATCTGCGCCTCAAGGGTCAAGCTGCAGCATCTGCCCTCACAGGTGGGTGGGGGGCGCAGAGGTGGAGGGGGCAGGGGAGGGGTGCAGGCGGCAGGTGGGGGCCCTGGGTGTGTGCCGGTGGAGCCCCTACTCCGCCCTGTGGCCCCTCACAGGAGCAGTGGGACCGGCTCCTGGTCCTGTACCCGACCTCCCTGGCCATTTTCTCCGAGGAAGCAGATGGGCTTTGCTTTAAGGTGGGTCCCTCCCCACTGTGGACCCGCCCCAGGGACGCACCCTCTGCGTGGGGGTGGGAGGGGGCAGCAGCTCAGGAGGAACCTGTATTTCGGGGCCTGTTGGGACAGATAGCACTGGCCCCACCCACCCAGCCCGCTGCCCTGGTCAGTCTGGTCTTAGCCTGACGTGGGCAAGGAAGGTGGGTGCCCTGCCTCAGCATCTCGTGTCATCCTAGAGGGTCCTCAGGCACCAGCAGACCCATCACCTGGGGTGGGTGGCGTGGGGGCCCCTAGTGCCCCTAAAAGGGGCCTGTACCTCTGAGCAGGCATCTTCCTGGTGCCTGAGGCTTATGCGTGTGCGTGTGCACGTGTGGGCCCGGGCGTGGGTGTGAAGGTCCTTCGGGGCCAGAGTGAGTGTCATGTGCATCAGGGTACTACATTCTACTCTGGGGGTGATCATGGCTTTCAGTCACTGAGAAACACACAGGGGGCTTCCTCGTAATCCCTTCCCACCCACCCCCATCTTAGCGGGTGGCCCAGGGGACCAGTCCCCGACCAGTCCTGTGTCGGCCATTGGCTGGCGAAGGCCCCACCTGGAGACCGGGGGGTGAAGGCACCTCCCAAAGACAGACGGGGAGTGCCTGGCCTCCCACGGGGTGTTGGCCTTGGACCTGCCTTGCCCTCTGCCCGGCGTCCGAGTGCCCACCCAGCCCGGGAGGACAAGACGGGGCAGTGGGCACAAGGGTTGCTCCCCCTGACTAAGGCCTCGTCCCCCCTGGATGCCCCACAGGGGGAGCTTCCACTCAGCGCCATCCACATCAACCCAGACGAGACGGAGAAACAGATCCGCTCTTTCCTGATCGAAGGTGGGCAGAGGCCAGGCCTGGGAGAGAGGGTGTGAGCCTAGCGCGCACCCAGTTCTGCACCGGGGCTTTGCAGGGGGCACCCTGCCTGCCAGGCCCCCTCACGGCATCTGTGTGCCAGGCCGTCTCATCAACACCATCCGTGTGGTGTGTGCCAGCTACGAGGATTATGGCCACTGGCTGCTCTGCCTGCAGTCGGCCTGCCGCGGGGACAGGGCCTCCCCACTGCCCGGCCCCGAGAGCTTCCCGGGGCTGCAGGCGCCCCCACAGGTGAGGAGTCAGCAGGGGAGGTGCCGCCAGGCAGCGGTGAAACAGGAGGGTGGGCCTGGGCCCGGGGCGGTGGGGGGAGGGGCCCTGCCATCCGGCTCACCCTTACCCACCACGGGCTGCCCAGGCTGTGGGCGGTGGCCGAGGCTCACTCTCCTCTGACGGACGGACCAGCTGGGACTCGGGGTGCCCAGCACCCGCCTCCAACCGCACCAGCCACTCCACGCCTGAGTCCACCGGAGGCTGCCCTGCCCGGCCCGCACCGGTGAGTATCTGGGGAGGAACGGGCAGAGGAAGGGGGCGGGGGACACTGCGGTGCGTTTGTGTTGGGGACCCCACTGCAAGTAGGGCCCTAGTTCCTCAGGGGAGGGGACTCAGACCGGAGGGGCTCTGTGTAGCCTCAGAGGGGTATGTGGGAGAGGGCCCCGGGGAACATTCTGGAAGGTCCTTGGTCCCCACAGGAGCAAGCCAGCCCTGGCTGCCCCAGCGTCGGTGGGCACAAGGCAAAGCTGAGGCGGGCCGGCAGCAACCGATCACCCAGGAGCAAGGCCCAGGGCGAGGGGCCCGGCCCAGCCACCCCACTGCACCTGGACCTGACCAAGGTGGGCCCAGCATGCTGACCCCGGCTCCAGGCATGGCTCTCCCTCCCGCCCTCCATGTCTCCGGCCTCCTCGGTCCTGGAGCCACCCAGAGGCCTCTTGCACAGAGAAGGGAGGGCCTGGACGCTTCCAGCTCCAGCGATTCTCTCTGTTCTGTCTCTTGCCTGTAGTTGAGGCTGGAGGATGGCCCTGAGGCCCCAGACTACTCTCTGGAGACACCACACTCCCCGCTGTACGCTGACCCCTACACACCACCTGCTACTTCCCACCGCAGGGTCACAGACGTCCAGGACCTGGACAAGGTCAGTCCCCTGCTGGGTGACAGAAAGAGCTGGACGTGGCCACAGCCTGAGGTTGAGAGGGTGCCTGAAGCCTGAGATCTGCTCAGGCTGCCACGGGAAGCTAAGGGGGTTTCTGGGGCAGGGGCCTCTCAGCTGCACAGAGGTCCTAGCCCAGGGCCTCGGTCACCAACGCTCTCCTGACAGTTCCTCAGTGCGATGCAGAGCTCGCTCGGACCTGAGCCCTCGAGCCCATTCCCCTTGGTCCCCGTGTCCGTGCCTGTCTCTGACCCCAGCTCTGGATTCTCCGGCCCCCACTTGCTCTCCGAGAAGGGAGTCCCGCAGGCCCGAGCCTCTCAGCGGCATCGCAGCTCCATCAAGGGCCGGGGGTCCCGGCCCCCAGGCTCCCCTCAGCTTGTGAGTAGCAGCCCCCACCCCGGGCAAGGGGTTCTGCAGCGGGGGCGGGGTGGGGTGGAGAGGAGACCGCATGCGGCCTCCTGGGACCCTGAGGGAGCAGGAGAGATGGAAACGGGGGAAGGGAGGATGGGTGGAGACCAAGGACGGGAGCATCGGCAGGAAGGGGGTGGGGGCAAGAGGAAAGGTGGGGGCGGGGTCTGGCAGGTTGCCTGAGGCTTATGCGTGTGCGTGTGCACGTGTGGGCCCGGGCGTGGGTGTGAAGGTCCTTCGGGGCCAGAGTGAGTGTCATGTGCATCAGGGTACTACATTCTACTCTGGGGGTGATCATGGCTTTCAGTCACTGAGAAACACACAGGGGGCTTCCTCGTAATCCCTTCCCACCCACCCCCATCTTAGCGGGTGGCCCAGGGGACCAGTCCCCGACCAGTCCTGTGTCGGCCATTGGCTGGCGAAGGCCCCACCTGGAGACCGGGGGGTGAAGGCACCTCCCAAAGACAGACGGGGAGTGCCTGGCCTCCCACGGGGTGTTGGCCTTGGACCTGCCTTGCCCTCTGCCCGGCGTCCGAGTGCCCACCCAGCCCGGGAGGACAAGACGGGGCAGTGGGCACAAGGGTTGCTCCCCCTGACTAAGGCCTCGTCCCCCCTGGATGCCCCACAGGGGGAGCTTCCACTCAGCGCCATCCACATCAACCCAGACGAGACGGAGAAACAGATCCGCTCTTTCCTGATCGAAGGTGGGCAGAGGCCAGGCCTGGGAGAGAGGGTGTGAGCCTAGCGCGCACCCAGTTCTGCACCGGGGCTTTGCAGGGGGCACCCTGCCTGCCAGGCCCCCTCACGGCATCTGTGTGCCAGGCCGTCTCATCAACACCATCCGTGTGGTGTGTGCCAGCTACGAGGATTATGGCCACTGGCTGCTCTGCCTGCAGTCGGCCTGCCGCGGGGACAGGGCCTCCCCACTGCCCGGCCCCGAGAGCTTCCCGGGGCTGCAGGCGCCCCCACAGGTGAGGAGTCAGCAGGGGAGGTGCCGCCAGGCAGCGGTGAAACAGGAGGGTGGGCCTGGGCCCGGGGCGGTGGGGGGAGGGGCCCTGCCATCCGGCTCACCCTTACCCACCACGGGCTGCCCAGGCTGTGGGCGGTGGCCGAGGCTCACTCTCCTCTGACGGACGGACCAGCTGGGACTCGGGGTGCCCAGCACCCGCCTCCAACCGCACCAGCCACTCCACGCCTGAGTCCACCGGAGGCTGCCCTGCCCGGCCCGCACCGGTGAGTATCTGGGGAGGAACGGGCAGAGGAAGGGGGCGGGGGACACTGCGGTGCGTTTGTGTTGGGGACCCCACTGCAAGTAGGGCCCTAGTTCCTCAGGGGAGGGGACTCAGACCGGAGGGGCTCTGTGTAGCCTCAGAGGGGTATGTGGGAGAGGGCCCCGGGGAACATTCTGGAAGGTCCTTGGTCCCCACAGGAGCAAGCCAGCCCTGGCTGCCCCAGCGTCGGTGGGCACAAGGCAAAGCTGAGGCGGGCCGGCAGCAACCGATCACCCAGGAGCAAGGCCCAGGGCGAGGGGCCCGGCCCAGCCACCCCACTGCACCTGGACCTGACCAAGGTGGGCCCAGCATGCTGACCCCGGCTCCAGGCATGGCTCTCCCTCCCGCCCTCCATGTCTCCGGCCTCCTCGGTCCTGGAGCCACCCAGAGGCCTCTTGCACAGAGAAGGGAGGGCCTGGACGCTTCCAGCTCCAGCGATTCTCTCTGTTCTGTCTCTTGCCTGTAGTTGAGGCTGGAGGATGGCCCTGAGGCCCCAGACTACTCTCTGGAGACACCACACTCCCCGCTGTACGCTGACCCCTACACACCACCTGCTACTTCCCACCGCAGGGTCACAGACGTCCAGGACCTGGACAAGGTCAGTCCCCTGCTGGGTGACAGAAAGAGCTGGACGTGGCCACAGCCTGAGGTTGAGAGGGTGCCTGAAGCCTGAGATCTGCTCAGGCTGCCACGGGAAGCTAAGGGGGTTTCTGGGGCAGGGGCCTCTCAGCTGCACAGAGGTCCTAGCCCAGGGCCTCGGTCACCAACGCTCTCCTGACAGTTCCTCAGTGCGATGCAGAGCTCGCTCGGACCTGAGCCCTCGAGCCCATTCCCCTTGGTCCCCGTGTCCGTGCCTGTCTCTGACCCCAGCTCTGGATTCTCCGGCCCCCACTTGCTCTCCGAGAAGGGAGTCCCGCAGGCCCGAGCCTCTCAGCGGCATCGCAGCTCCATCAAGGGCCGGGGGTCCCGGCCCCCAGGCTCCCCTCAGCTTGTGAGTAGCAGCCCCCACCCCGGGCAAGGGGTTCTGCAGCGGGGGCGGGGTGGGGTGGAGAGGAGACCGCATGCGGCCTCCTGGGACCCTGAGGGAGCAGGAGAGATGGAAACGGGGGAAGGGAGGATGGGTGGAGACCAAGGACGGGAGCATCGGCAGGAAGGGGGTGGGGGCAAGAGGAAAGGTGGGGGCGGGGTCTGGCAGGTCCCTGAGCTGGCCGCCAAGCCGGTCCAAGGGCCCATCCCTCAGACTTGTCGTTGGGGTCCCCAGGTGTCTCCTGCGACGGAAGTTGCGCCCGAACCCCCGCCACCTCCCCCAGGTGAGTGAGGGCCCTGCCTCTTCCTGGGGAAGCTCTGGGTGTTGCTTCCTGAAAGCACATGCACCTCTGCCCTCCCCACCAGACGGCCGCCCCGCAAGGAGCTACGACAGCGTCTGGGACAAAGCTCTGTCACCTTCCCACCAGCGGTGGCCTCGAGGAGCACCAGAGGCTGAAGGCGGGCTCGTCCAGTGGATCTGATGGCCACCAGGAGGCTGCTTCTCGGGACCACCTTCCTGCATCGACCCTGCAGGAGGGGCTGAAGCAGGACCTGGGGCTTTTTAGTGGGGCCACAGGCACCCAGTATCGAGTCAGGGTCTGACCCCAGCAGGTGCAGGGGGCCTCCAGACCCCTGAGTTACCCTGGGCTCGTGAGGGGTTAGGAGGGCCTCACCCTCAGGACACCTTGGCCAAGGTGACTGGACGCCCAGAGGGGCCAAACCTCAGCCTGCCCCTCAGGGAAGGAATGAGGGAGGGGACTCGGGGTAGGGGCTTCACCTGGGAGAGGGGGGATGGCACAGGTGTAAAGGTCAGAGGGCTGAGAAGGTCAGTTAGCGAGAGTCAGAGTATGTGAGGCCAGAGGGCACAGGGTCTGAGACATCACAAGCAGGAGGCAGGAAGGTGGCCTGGGCGCATGTGAGCGTGAAGGTCGGGAGAAACCGGCAAGAGACTAAACAAGAAAGCAAGAGATTTTATTGGTGCCGTGTGTCCACGCGTTCTGTCCTGAGCAGCAGGAGTCTCCTGCGTCCCGGGGACCCTGTACGTGCTGCCTCGGGGCTGGACGCCCCCCCAGCGCCTAGTCTGGCAGCCCCCTTGCTCCACTACTGCCCGCACCCTGTCCACCTTCCTGTGCCACCTCCGGCTCCTGTCAGCTCTGGGCGAACCCAGGCGTCCCGTCCCTCCACCGGATACCCTTGCCTTCTGCCTCTGCACCTCCTCCAGGGCTCCCCAGAGGAGGGGCTCCAGGCTCTGCCCTACAGACCCCCAGCCTGCAGGGCCCCTCTGGGTACCTGCTCAGCATCTCGGGTGGGAGCCGAGGAGGCCTTGACCACAGACCCCTGGGGTTCAGGGGTTAGAGAGGCCTCAGAGACCTCCAGCGGCCCAGCCCACTTATAAACAGGGCAGAGGGTCCCTGGGACGCCACCCCGCAGCCTGAAGGCCCTCTGCCCAGATCTCCAGCTGGGGCCTCGCTGCTGCTCTGAAGCCCCATCATACCCCTCCCTCCAACAGGATAACCACATAGGATTAGGACTCCAGTTAACTCTGGTTTCAGATAAACCACAAATAATTCCTTAGCATAAGTAGGTCTCATACTGCGTGTTTGAGATTCCAGTTTTGATGGACACCTTGTGTTTTTTGTTGCTAATCTGGCACCTTACTAACTCCCAGCTCCCTGCTTGGCCTACCCTCCCAGCCTTCCAGAATCTCCCCACTCCCAAGTGTGGAACACAGCCTCGGCCTCGGCCACTGGCTGGACCCTCAGGCAGAGTCCAAGGGAGCCAGGACCAAGGACGCAGGCTCCTTCCTAGATGCCGCAGAACGCAAGGGTCAAAGGGCAAGGCCTGAGGGCAGCACCTCATCCTGAGCACCTGTGGACAATTCCTCACCCTGCGTCTTCCTGGGCGGAGCCTGGGTCCTAGGAGCTGGGGCTGCGGCGCCCCCGCCCCACCTGCCGGCGGAAGTACCGGATAGCGGAGATGGTGCCGATATTGGCCAGCAGAACTGCAAGAGAAGCACGAGACCTCCTGAGTGCCGGCTCCATTCCGGCCCGGGTCCCCACCCTCCATCCACACGGCGGGGTTCTCAAAGGATGGGAGGAGGGCTTCCCAGGTGGCGCAGTGGTTGAGAGTCCGCCTGCCGATGCAGGGGACACGGGTTCG